TATGACTTGACATATAACGTATTAGTCTCTCCGCGCTTCTCACGACCCGTACTATTGCACATATTGCACAAGCTTTAACAATAGCTGTTTAGTTTATTGACCGAAAACAAAAAATACGATTTAATCTTATGCTTTTAAGTAAAGAAAAAATTGGTTATTCTCCTCCAGAATTTCTCTAGGAATACAGAAGAGATACTTTTGTCCCCATTAAAAGTCGATTTTGTTAATTTATTTAAAAACTTATGGTTAGGTACCAACTTTTAATGTAGTTTTTTTGCTTTTATCTCCGCTTCTATTACTCATAGAGTAGTTTTATGACTGTCAATCTTTTTGGCGTCAATCTTTTTGCAAATAGACATCTTTAAAAGGTATTATTTATTATTACAGTACATAATAAAAAAGAGTGAAAAAAAGATTTTAACCAAAAAACTTATGACTGTCGTAGAATAAAGAACTACTACGTTAGTTTGAAAGTAACCATGAGAAAACAAAATTTTGATAATTAATTTTTTACAGTTATACTTTTATGTGTTATAACAAACGTGGTTCTTGGATTACAAAAAAAAAATTGTGCTGTTGTGTTGATGCAATTTTTTTCTGATCTCGTAGGACATGTGCGAGCACCAAACAAAATTTATTATTGCACTCGAACCTAATACGTACTCAAATAACTGATTTACTAAGGTGGTTTACTCTTTATAATATCTGATTTTTCTTAAATGTTCTTGTAAGTTATCATTACTTGTTATATGCATGGTAAGTACATTTTATCATAAATTCTTTTATTTCATTAACTTTGTCTTTCATCCCATATATTATGACTGTATGTAGACAACGTCTACAAAAAAGCAGATGTAACTTCGTTTTGATAAGGGATTTGTAGACCCGTTACGACTAATTTTTTTAATACGTATTGAACATGCTGCATTCGTTAATTGATTAAATTTGTAAGTTTTCTCTTCTTTAAAGTAATCTTAGCGGATATTATGTAATTTATATCGTCAGGAGTAATGATTTTATTACTAAAATTTAATGTTATGAGTGAATATACATGCATTATTTCACATTTTTATAATTTTGTTTTGTTAACATAAGCTTACACATCACAAAAAAAATTGTTACGTGATGTATCGTCTAAAATTAATTGTAATTTTGTGTGGAATAGGTGAACGGTTGTATTTGGTATATAGTTTGACACTGCTTCTTTTAAAAAGTTAGCCAGAAACATTCTCAATTCCTTACATTTAGGATTACATGTAACTCCAATTTCATCTTTATTTTCAAAAGTTTCTGATATATCTGACATGATATTTTACTGCATTTTATAAGCCTTTATAGCATTTAAGTCTTGATTTTTTAAATACATTTCTTTACTAGTTTGGTCTAATATTGTTAATCATAATTTATATATGTAAAAAACTGTTAAGTTAATCTTCTGACGTATGAAAGAGGACTAACATTTTTTTAATTTAGTCTGTTACATAATCTAGATAAATTAAATTGTAACACAGTAAAGTTATTGTTCTTATTATTATTATCATTATTTTTGTTTTTATTATTATTATTATTTTTGTTGCTTTCATTATTATTATCACTCTTGTTCTTCTTCTTCTTATTATTATTATTATAACGTGTGATGTTATTTTAATGTACACATGAAACATTTTTACAAGACTTTAGATTTCAATTGCAGTGGCATAAGTTTGACTTTGTGTCATTAAATTAAAATAATTATCATTTAATGCTACATTTTGAAAGAATAATTTCAAAAACCTTTCTGAAACATAAAATATTTTTTAATAATACATATCTGGCACCAACAATTACTATTTTTATAAAATGACTTTTAAATAATTTAATTTTGTCGTAATTTTTTTTAAAGTATCACTGTCTTTTTTTTCATTTTGATTTATTTATTAACTTTTTTTTAAATTTAACTTACTGTTAGTATTAGAATGGTGATACTTTAATATGTCATAATGACCTGAATCAAGGCTTCTCGTGGAAAGTAAAGTCAACTTCAAATTATTTTTAAAAGTTTCAAATGGATCAATGTTTTTTTTTATTATTTAAAAATACTTTTACTTTAACTTAGAAAATTTTAACAAAATTTTTTATTTGGACATTGTGTATTTTCTCAACTTTACAAGACAAAGTGAAAAAATGAAGTATTTAACTAAATTTAAAAACACTAGTACGTATATGCATAATACACATGCATATAGTTAGAAGAGAAATCAACATGTCAAAAGTCTTGTGCTTAAATTCACAGACAGTAATCTCAATAAGTACAAGTAATTTAGTTAGTACGTAGCGTTAAAAAAAAATGTTGACTTGTTAGGTAGCGATTACATTATGAGTTATAAGTTTGAGAACACACCTGAATAAGTTGTGATAATTTTTTATACACTTTAACAAATATGTTATATTGGAATACGAATGATATCAAATATTTTAAACATAAAATATAACTTTGTATGGATCAAAACAAAAAACGGTAAATATTTAGATAAAAAATTGAAAAATTGAATCTTGTTTTAGTAGTTACTTTCAGTAATATTAATTTTTTATAAATACAAGAGTTAAGACTTTGAGTTAAAAGGATAATAATTTTTTTTTTTTTTTTTAATTTTCCTTAAACAGCTTTTTGTTAAGTAAAATTGGTTTTAATAAAAAATTTGCTCAAAAGATGAGAATCGCTTACTATGAAACATTTTGTCATTTTTTTGGATTTAATAGCAGTATTTCTCGAAGTTTGGTAACCGCTCGCTGATTCACGTACAGTTGTTCAGTTTAAGAGATATTTATTAAAGGAAAAAAATTATTCTGTATGGGTGCATTATCATTTCTGCTAAAAGCCATGAGCAATGGTCTTTGCTCAGTCATCTTAAAAATGTTTTTATTATTTTAATTTATTAACCCAAGTTTCATTATACAAACCTTAACGTTACTTGACGTATATAGAGCAGTAAGACTTATAGCAGCCATACCACTTGAAATGTGCTTATTAGTTTTTGACATACTTGCTAACTATTAAGGAAGAAATTTTTATGTTATGAAAATAAGGTATTAAATCTTAGGAGCCATAAATAAGAATTCTAGCTCTCTGTTACGCAAAATGGAAAAAGTGGAATATCATAGCATTCCAATGCTGTGCAAGTACTTTTTTTTGCTATGTAAGTACTGGCTGCTTCTGCTGCTGGTACTCGCAGCTACTTGGTGTGCAGATACTGTTGTGTTGGAGCGTATATTCATATGCGTACCAATCCAGCAATCCTAGTATACATGGCGCACACTGCCGTAGACCACCCACGACAGCCGTATAGTTATACGGTAACTGCTCAGCCTATAGGTTAGAGTTGCGTGAGCTGTCCCAGCATGCTTATCTCGATCTGCTCACCTGTGTACCTTTGTTCAATAAATGCCTTTATTAGATACTGTGTGTTCTTTATTATATAGCCAACCAACTACATACATTACATATAATTTCTCTCGTCTTGCTGCTGCTGATGTACAAATACTTGCTCATGCTGCTTTGTACGTACTTGCTGCTATCTAAGTAGTAGTTTCAGTGTATAACACGAATCAATGGTGATCATATGGCTAGCAGATCTTTTCCAGCATGACAGCAACTACGGTTATGATGAGATGCATGCACGTTTAATGAGAATAATAACATTGGTGACATCGGTTGATTATTACTCGGTTATAGTCTGTAATGATTAAAGTAAGTGGCTGTCAGACCAGACTTTACCCGTTTCAAAGTTTTATGCAACTACACCTGTCATGCAAAGAAAATGCTAAAGGCATGTGTTACGAGTACTTTTATACACTTAATTACTTTTCATGGAATGACGCTTACGTGAAATTAGGATGTTCGGTGATCGCAAATACTAATAATAGAATTAAATGTTTATTTATACTGAAGGTATTATAATAATAATGAATTAATTATTTTAAGTAAAACGGAACAAATTTATAGTTTAAACAATGCCTCCTTACACATATTAACTGCTTGTTGGTAACGTTAATAAAAGGAAATTTTTTTTAAAGAATATTTGACTTACGCGAACATAACGTAAATCTAATAAGATAATCAATATACAAATGTGATTCAGATGTAAGGGTACATAGCACTTTATTCGAAATTGTTGCTATAATATTTAAAACATTAGCTTTCGCCTTTTCATAACAGAAATTTTTTAAAGAATATTTGACTTACGTAAACACAATTTCAAAACGTATTTACATAACGTTAATCTAGTAAGATAACGAGGATGCAGATATAATACAGAAGTAAGAGCCACATAGCACTTTATTAAAAAATCTTGTTATAATATTTGAAAAATTAGGACTTGACTTTTATAAAGTCAAGAAAAATTTGATAACATGTTGTCTATCAAAAGGTTAGAATAAGAAGATTTTTATGGTCCACCCTAATAAAGCAAGATTTTTCGAACTTTGGCAGCTTAATTAATTCAATGATCATTGGCACTGGCAATAAGCTATGCGATTATTATGAACTGTACGTGGTAATATCGCAGATTTGTCTTGATTTATTATGACAGTGCTTGGGTATTGCTGTCCAATGCTTGTATATCCATGAATTTTAATCTTTAGCTTTAAATAACTCACGGGATTATAAAAACGATTATGTACGACAAAATTTTTCATTTTTCGCAAAACAAAGAAACAGCGAGATCAATAAAACATCGTTTGTCTAGAATAGTACTACATTATTTTTACCAGCAGTGTCATAAAAACGAAGAATATTCATATCAAAAATATTCCAAGAAGTCAGTTCAAATTGGCTGTCTGGTAATCTTTCAATATATTGATGTAACTATACTGGATTGCGGTTATCTTCTCAGAAAGGAGACTATTTGCTCTAAATTTTCTCTAGTCAGAATTTAAATTTTTGCATGGTATTTCCATACTAGTAATGTCACAAATCAATAGAAAGTAATATAAATGTCTTATGAATTGTATGGTATATGTACCTGTTGCCGGAATAAAATACTTTTTTCTGCCAGATGATGAGAAAGAATCATTGTTTGTTGAAGTTGGACATTATCATCAGCCGATCCATGGACAAGATAAAACATTTTATTTCGTAAGTTCTCTACTTTTCTACTTAAGTCAGCTTCGTCGTAACCTTTCTGATTCCATGATATATTAGGGGAGCCCATAAACCTTTCAGCATAAGCAGAATCTTAAACATAAGATAGTACACAATCTTTTTTAACTTATTATACAAAATTAATGAGAAATAAAATGATAAATAATAATCAAGCTTTATGTATGGTAAGATCTATGTTGAAGAATTTCAGTTTCTCCCTGAAGGATTCTACTTTATTATGAGTAAAATTGAGAACCTGTTCCCTAATTTATTACATGCAAAGTACATTGAATAATTTATAAAATCATAAGTTACAATAGTTTCTGTAAAAGTGTTTGTTCTGTTACTGTCTGATAAAAATTAATTAAACTTTAAAGAAAGGCGAGGGATGCAATACACGTGAGTGAAAGTAAACAGTAAGAAATCATTTTGGTCCAATAAAAAAAATTTTTAACACAAACTAAATAGATGTCATCAAAAACACATTTCTTAATAAGTATTTAAATGAACAGTTCTTGTATTTTTGCAATAAAGGTCCAGTAGTGTAATCAGTGGGCTACAGAGCAAGATCCTGCATCCCCCCCCAAAAAAAAATAAAGTACTGCCCATACAATAGATATAAAACACTATAAATTTTTACTTAACTTTTTCTTGTTACTCTTAAGAATAATCATAGAATGCCTGACAGCTTGGTCTTCTTTTTGTTGTATATAAGTAACTAAATATAACTGTATTATTGCCTTCTAAGCCTCATAAATTCATATATATGTTTTGTATGTACTTGTATTTATTTGTCTATAAATTAAATTATTTAGAAACAAAATCTTTTAGAGTTCCTTACTTAAAATAAGAAGCTTAGAATGTTAGCCGCTTACATACACTTATTTAAAAAAATAGAAAGTTCCAAGGATGATGACTTGGATTTAGGAGCTTATGGTTAGATTTTTAAACTTGCTGCTTTATTATATCGCCACTATTGCATTTTTGGATGTGCTGTCTCCCCCCCCCCCAAATTGCTGCTGCATCCGCATCATAGTGTGATTGGTGCGCCAGGTAATCTTGTTACTTTTTATCACTTATCACTTTATAATATAGTGATGAATGTTAGGATTACATTAATCCCCCCACCAAAATCCTCCCAGGTACCACTCCAGGATTACCCTTAACTCCCCAGAAAATAAGAAAATTTTTGTTTTGTTTTTTGCTTTACGTTTTTTGACCTGGTTTTCTATTAAGCCATTCAACAGACCTCCTACAATCCTTGAGAGCCCCCCCCCCCACTAGAATGATATCTATTATTTTTGCACTGCGTATAACGCAAATATATCAACTTTTTAGAAATTAAAAATAATAAAGAGCTTTTTTTTGATAAATACACAATATTAAACTTTGTTTATGTGAATTGTTTCAAATGTAAGTTTTTTATGCTGTTATTGATTATCAGGATCCTAGTGCAATGTTTTTATTCAATAAATATTATTATATAAGTACACTAAATTTTCATATATATGCCTTAAATAACATGTTATATTTATATGCAATGATAGAATTTTTTAATTTTTTTCAAAAAAATTATACACGTTATAGTTGTTGGCTGTAGCCTTACACAACTATGGACAAATTTGACTTTTAAATAAAGACGAATACTTAAATCCTTTTTGCGTTTAACATTTACAGCAATAAGTATTTAACGATTACATATCTCTCAAATTATTACAAATACCCTCAAATATGTGTCCTTGTGCTTAAATAAATGCTATAACTAAGAGGAATCGCTTTATCTATGGTATCAAAGGTTAGTATAAAGAATAACCATTTTTCGTATAATAACTTAAATTTCCTGTATTTATTCATCATTCTTTCTGCTCTGATATTATACTAATAAAAAATTCAAATTCACTTTCATTTTCATTCGTTTTCGGTTGCAAAATCTATCACGTATACTTGAATTTCTTATTTACATAAGGATTGCTCCAGTTTTTAAATAAAGATCGTACGGTAAAAGACCTGACAAATACTATTTTTTATTTAAAAAAAAAAGAAAAAAAACGTCTCAATTTTTTTTGAAAATGATACGAGATGGACCAAATAAAATTTTTCACGCAAAAACCTAACTGTTATACATACCTTCCATATTATCAGAACAAAAAGAATGTACATAAACATCAATTTTAAAATTGTCTGAAGAATGAGTTTAGGATAATAATTAATTTAGAATAATTATTTTTTGTTTTCGTTCAGTAAAATAAATGATAGTTTTATTTTATAAGATCTTTTTTTTGCATAAATCATATTGTTATACTTTTAAACAGTGTTTTAAGGTTTCTTAAAAAATTACCAGATTATGACGTTCATGACTATTTTCTCACAGGTATGTGTCGGAATCTTCCAACTCATGTGGTAAACTCACTACTAAGGAACCCTTTGTCTTAGTAAGGGTGTTCGTTAGTTGTACCACAATGTTTAATTGCCTCAGTTAGACACCTGTATCATTTTCTTATAGGAAAAGCGCATGACCAATTTACCTGCCAAGGTGTCGGCTACTCTCACTTCTCAATTTTTATATTTCAAGTTTTGGCGATTTCTTTCGATTTCCAATGGAAAATTGAATTGAAATTCAGCAGGCATCAACTGAGAAATCGCTGAAACTTGAAATAAATACACTAGTAAGGCTCTGCCCCCTGCGCACTCTGCGTGCCAACCCCCCAATTTTTTAATCAGTTTAATACTTCATTATCTTCAGTTTGCGTTTTACAGTTAAAAAAATTAAAAAATCCTCCTAAAGTTATTTAAGATTTAAAACAGAAGTAGTAAAAATTTAATAAATACTTTTTTTTAATTTCATGAGACAATTTTTTGCCTTCTTTATAATCGCAGAAAACATCGAAGGAAATAAATTTGAAAAACATTTTAAATAACTTTATCGATCATATAGTGTTTCCGGTAAAAAAGGTCAAATAGGCTAGAAATTTTATGGACAATAATTAAAATCGGACAATTTTACATAAAAATAAAATTTACAATTAGAAGACAAATCATTTGAAAACTTAAATTTACCTACACCAAAAAAAAACGATATAAAAGAAAAAAATACTATAAAAGAAATTGATTTTGTACTTAAACGCTTAATTCAGTGAATACAAAATTAAATGTAGATCAAATGAAGATTTTCAAAATTATATATAAACAAACAGATAAGATTTTTTTTATTTATGACTCCGGAGGCTTAGGAAAAATGCTTCTATATGAAACATTAATTTATTATTTCATTTTTTCGTAGAAAAAATTTTATCTATGACATGGACTGGTAAAGCATCAGTATGACTTTCAAAAGGAATGACCAGTCATAAAACATTTCGTTTACCATAAGACTTAGACAATGTAGAAAGTTTGTTCCTAGAATTTGAATCTAAAAAAAAAAAATTGCAAGGAGCAGATTGAGTTGTATGGGACGAGGCTTCTACGATCCTTAAAAAGCCTTATAAATAGTTAATAGTTATTTACGTAACAAGTGCGGAAAAGACGATTTCCCGCACGAGTAGTGATTGACTCACACGAGTGCCGGAGTTGACAGGAACGAGTACCAGTTGAGCAAGGTACAAGTTACCGTTACCGGCCACGAGTGCAAGTCTATCACACGAGTGCGGGAAATCGTCCCGCACGAGTTGCATACAAGTTTTTTCGCAATGTGTGAGGAAAATAGGTACGAAATAGGTTTGAATTTTGATTTCCAGTGGGTAGCAAAATTTTTTCCGGTGTGTGGCAAAACCTTTTCCACACACCTTTTCCGCACACTGTGCGGCAAAAACCTTTGCCACACACNGTGAGGCTAGTTATAATAATCTCGAACATGATGTTGAATGCCATTGTCGTTCACTGGCAGAACGTCCAAAATTGAGATGTTTATCGTCAATGCTTAATACCTAAACTGTTAAATTAATTCATAAACAAATATTATTTATTAAAAAACTTATTTAAATGACTGACCGAAACAGTGTAAAAAGAGTGTATTGATTTTTTCTAAATTAATTAGTATTAATTTATATGCTTCGAAGGTGGCACGGGAAAAAAAATGAAATTTGTATTAATATACACCTGAAAAAAATTATTTAAACACTAAAGAAAAGGCATAAATTTTATTTGCCTAATTTAAATAAGATTCTTAAAATACTAAACATGAGATAAGGAAAGTATAGGAGCAGAGGAAATCGTTTAACTGTTGTTATCAATATTAGTTGTACCAGTAGTCTTACATATTTTATGAGAAATGGTATAAAGTTAATCTTTTTTTCTACTTTGTAAAATGAAAAAAATTAGTATTTTCCCATTTATAAACATAACAGGATTGTTCTAACTCATAGAATGATTTAGGTTTCTTGAACAAGATAAAATAGAGAGGAATAAGGAGTTCAGGAAAATGTTAACAGTTTTTTTCGAGTAAAAAATGATGTCGAAGGAGTCGGCTATTAGTAACTGATGTGAGGGGAGCCAGGATTTGTCATGACATACGGTACAAGTAGAGAGAGTGTGGAAAGTTCTCCTAAAAATTGATGGGACTGAAAACAAAAAATCTATACAAATGAGGAAGAAAACAAAATTTTTGTCGTGTTTTGCAGGGATAGGTAGGGGTAAACGTGGTGATAAGTGGAATGTCCTGCTCAAAGAACTTTAGAAACAATAAAATATATCGTTCTGAAGAGGGGTATTGTTTTCGGCCCTTTTTAAGTAACACAATAAAAATGTTACATATTTTTTAATATATTAAAATCAATCTTTGCTTGCTTCAGCATTTTCATGACAGTATATAAACAGCAATGACAGAAATTGGAAATTACTGATCTGTACTTTTACACATATATATATATATGTGTGTGTGTGTGTATAGACATAATCAAAAGCAAGATGTTTTAGCGAAAACTGTAGACAGTAACACGATAATTGATCTTGCAAGTATGCTTTCTGAAACTCGACAAGAGTCCGAGCCTGTTGGAATGTAAGTAAATTGATATTAGATGCGTGAGTGGTGACATCTGTTATGCAGCATAGGCTCTGTGAGTGCGAGATGATGTGTGAGTGTACTTTGTAGTTTTTGT